TTCCCCAAAATTTTTCTGATAGGGTCTTCCAGGTCTTTTTTATATCACCTCGTAAGTTGGATAACTTTTTTCTCTTTTTAAATTTTTTTGCCCTTTTTATCAGGCTGGTTAGGTTTTCAGGTAAAAGTTTTTTTTTGGTTTTTGGTTATGTGACCCCTTCGGGACTGTTTTTCATATCGGTGTTTTGTATTTATGGATTTAGAATTTCTGGGGTTTTTCCCGGGGTGTTCGTCTCCCTTAAACTGTTTTTGTTTAGTTTTTTTTGGGGGGGAGTGCTTGTTATTAAAAGGGATTGGGTTTTTTTTTAGAAAAATTTCTAAAAAATTTTGTCAATATTGTATAGATTTTTAGCTCATTTTGCCAGTCAATGTTTTTTACTGCTGTTGTGAGTTTTTTTAATGGCTGCCCCCATTGTGAAGTTGAAGGTGACTTTAGTAGTGTTTTTGGGGTATTTTACAAAAGTTGTTATGAGGGAAAATTGGGTAGTGGGGCTGGGTATTATCCCGGGAAATTTTGCCCGTTTTTTTTAAAAAAGGGTTTGGTGTTGGTCCAGTTTTTGGGCAAGTTGGGAAAAAACTAGTCTCGTTTAAATCTTGTAGGGTTTTTTTTAATGTTTGGGAGCAAATTTCAGTTACCCCATTGTGTTTGTGAATTTAGTAAGTGGGGGTCCCGGTCTTGCAGGAGGGTTTTTAATTTTAAGTCACCTGAGGTAGAAAATGATCTTTGTTCATGGGGTGGATCAGGGATCCCTAAATTTTCCCAGGTTTTTACTAAATTGGCTAATGTTTGATTGGGGAACTCTGTTGATGTTTATCACTGTGAGAGGGTTTTTTTAGGTATTTGGATTTTAATTTTTGTATTTATATTTCCCCCTTTGGGGTTTTTCCCTTTTGCAAGTTTTGTGAAACATTCTAGTTGGTATGAGTAGTTTTATAGCAGTGCCACCCCCCTTTTTGGTCTGGCCTAAATTTTGGTTTTGGCTGGTAACCAGGAATGGGGATAGACACTGTAGTATCAGGCCCTTTTTTCCCGGTTTCAGTTGGGGTAATGTGGACATTTGGCATGCAAAGGAAATTTTGCAATGCTAGGAGGTCATCATAATGTTGCTTAAAAAAATCTGATATTGTTTGTTAAAAGATAGTTATGTTTTTGTTGGCTCTGGAAGTGTTTGATTGTTTTTGCTGGGGTGTTTTACCCGTAAAATGTTTGAATTATTTAAGGCATTAAATAAGAGGTTGGGGATCAGGTTCCCAAAGCTTGTAATTTAAAAATTTGTTTGTGAATCATAGTTAGAAATTTAAGGGAAACAATAAATAAATTATTTTAAAAACTTTAAAAAAAAAAAGGGACCCGAATTATTTAACAAATTTTAAAAAAAAATGAGCTAAGGGGAGTTTTTTAAAAGCTAAAATTTAAAAGGGGACAATTTTAAAAAGGGGGCCCAAAAAAAATTTGTGGTGAAAAAAAAAGTGGTGATCAAAAAGGAGCTTGGTAAAAATGATGTGGAGTAATTTTAAAAGGGAAATTTTTTAAAAATTAGGGAAATTTTAATATAAAATTTTTTTAAAAATTTAAAAGGGACTATATAAGTTGTGGTGAACAATAAAGTGGCAATCAAATAAATTTAAAATAAAGGAGTATAATGGCAAAAAAAGTGAAATTTTTTAACTTTTGACCTGAGAAAAGCCCCTTTATTATTTTAACAAATTTTGAAAATAGAGCTAAAGGGGTTATATAAAGCTAAAATAAAGGAAAAAAAAAAATATTTAAAGGGGGACAATTTAAATAATGGTAAGCAAGGGAAAAGGACAGTTTGTCACTAGAAAAAATATTGGGTTTTTGGGGAAGATTGGGTTTGTAAAATTAAAATTAAATTTTAGCAGGTTTTTTGCACAATAAAAAGTAAAAAAAAATTTAGGGGTTTGGTTTCTAGCAGCAAAAGATTGTTTTTGGGACTTGCAAAAAAATAATTGGAAAACAGGGGGACCCCCGGGATAGCGAACGCCTTGCCTTTGGAAAAAATCCGCATAGCGAACGCTTTGTTTGCCAAAATTTTTTCCCCGCTAGGGACAAAAACCCCCCTCAGGACCCTTTGTCCCAGACGCGGGCCATTGGTTTTTTCCAAACCAGCCTCCGCGGGGGAACAATTCAAACCCTACACTCGGAATATTTTTGTATTATTACAGTGTTTTCGGTGGTGTTTCTGGAAAATAAGTGACCATGGGCCCCAAGAAAGCTTCTAGTGCCAACCCTGTGGTAAAAAGGGTGAGAATTAGTATGGAAATTAAGAAAGATTTTGAAGGGTTTGGGGCTAACCCTGAGAAGCCTATGCCAGTTGTGGAATCCATTGTGCCTACTTCAAAAATTAAGGAAATGTGTGCACAGTGGGTTGAACTGCAAACCTTTATGGATGAAAATCACCCTGACACAGCTGTTGCAAGCCGTGCTGGTGACTATTTCAATGACAATGTTATGGCCCATTTTAGACAAATCGTAAAGGAACGGGAGGTACAGAGCTCTATGGACAGATTTGTTGTGCGACAGAGGTCCAGTGACTCTGAAGCTGGTCCTAGTGGCATTAAAAGAAGAAGGGAAGTAACCCCGAAAAGGACTTGCTACCTCAAGTCCTAATGGAAGGGGATTCCCCTTCTAAACACTAACACTCTCTCTCCCCTCCTCCCATCCCATCAATCATCACCAGATCTTCAATAAAAGTAAGTGTCATGTAATTGTGCATGCCTTTTTCAGTTTGTTTTTTTTATTTTTTATTATCACACCGGCCGATTCCCACCAAGGCAGGGTGGCCCGAAAAAGAAAAACTTTCACCATCATTCACTCCAATCACTGTCTTGCCAGAAGGGTGCTTTACACTACAGTTTCTAAACTGCAACATTAACACCCCTCCTTCAGAGTGCAGGCACTGTACTTCCCATCTCCAGGACTCAAGTCCGGCCTGCCGGTTTCCCTGAATCCCTTCATAAATGTTACTTTGCTCACCTCCAACAGCACGTCAAGTATTAAAAACCATTTGTCTCCATTCACTCTATCAAACACGCTCACGCATGCCTGCTGGAGTCCAAGCCCCTCGCACACAAAACCTCCTTTACCCCCTCCCTCCAACCCTTCCTAGGCCGACCCCTACCCCGCCTTCCTTCCACTACAGACTGATACACTCTTGAAATTCTGTTTCGCTCCATTCTCTCTACATGTCCGAACCACCTCAACAACCCTTCCTCAGCCCTGGACAACAGTTTTGGTAATCCTGCACCTCAGTTTGTGTGTACTAAAATTAACATTTTTTTGTGGTAAAAAAAAAAATTTTTTCATACTTTTGGGTGTCTTGCACGGATTAATTTTATTTCCATTATTTCTTATGGGGAAAATTAATTCGCATAGCGAACATTTCGCATAACGACCAGCCCTCTTGCACGGATTAAGTTCGCTATGCGGGGGTCCACTGTATATACTAATTGCACACACAATAAAAAGTGACTAGAAAAACAAGTAGTGGTAAACAAAATTAAATGGACAGGTAAGAACAATGAATGATATTAATTTGGAGTAAGATTTGACTTGTAACTTAAAATTATGAGCAATTAATAGCAGTAAGAAAGAAGTAAAAAAGTATTGGAGGTAGTTAGCATTAGCTAGTGATGAAAAAATAATAAAAATAATAATGCACAATATAATAGTAACGTACACTATGTGCACCACACGTATATATGTATTAAGGGCACTTATCTAATCTGTTACAGAAATGTCAGCTTTTCTAAGGAAGGTAGAGAAATCGTGTTCGTTTGAGATAGTATATTGTTGTCCTGTTGATGTTTTCCTTACTAGCATTTTCCCATCTCGCGTGAAACACTGATGTATTTTGTTTTCCTGTTTAAGTTTTCTCAGCCTGAACAGAAGGTTTTGACGTTTTCTTGTTAGACACTCATTTATGTACACTCCATTTTTCATTGTAATTGCTGATTTAATTAGGTCCTTTCTTTTATCGTATGAATGAAGTCTGATCATTGTACTGTGTTTACTTCCTGGTTTTCCTAACAAACATGTTTCTTTGATTTCATTGTTTTGCACGATGACTTGTACATGGTCCTGTATTATCCTGACAGCAGTTTCTTTGCACTGAGCTTGTGTTATGTCACTTGGAATGTGTGGACTGTTTATTATAACTGCATCAGACAACTTATCTTGTTCAGTTTTGTCGTCTTGGAAATCAAGGTATTCATTTAGTCGAGTGTGCATGTTCTGATTCCAGTCCTTGATTGCTTCTTCAACCTTCATATTTATTGTAGTTATTTGTTCGGTGTGACAGGCTATAGCTGCTTTCAGAGGATTTTCTGTGTCAACACTTCCCGATGTAAGATTAAGAGATGTAATCTTCTCTTCAAGGTTTTGGGTCTTGTTCTCTAGGTTGGTTATCTTGGATTCTCGTCGCTCGAGTGTTGCTTTGATATCTTTGATTTCGTTTTCTAGAGCAACGATGTAGTCCTTGATATTGTCAGGAATAATCATACCTGAGTAATCATGGGTGAATCCATTGAAGGGAGTGGAGTTGGAAGGGGAGTCAGCCATGTTTGTTGTTGTTGTTGTTGTTGTTCCTTGGGTGGCGGCGGTGAGGGGGGTTGATGATACACCGGCGTCCTGCTGGGTAGACAAGGTGAGTTCTAGGGTCCTTGCTGTTATTCTTTTATTACTGATGTTGTTTCTTCTGCGATATCCTTTCATAGTATCACTGAAGTAGATACTGTGTAGCAATGGAGAAGGTTTGTTTTCTCGGAGCTTGGGTTAAGTGGTTGTTTGGCAGCGGAGGCAGTGTTTGGGTTAGCAGGGCTGTCTTCCTTAGATCTTCTATTTTTGTCAAGATTTGGGTTACATTCTTAGTATTCTTGGGTCATTTTGTGGTCTACGTGGGTTCATGTAGTTGAACTTTCACTTAGGCCATCACAAGTTTTGATGAGTGATGTTTTTTTGAGGAAGAAGAGCTGGTAGGATGCCGCTGCTGCCGCTGCCGCTGCTGCCAATATAATACATGTATATGTACTGAGCTTGTTGGGATTCAAGCTTATATATATATTCTATGCGAAGTAATTGAATTTATTTGAGTTTATCAAGTGTCTAATTCATTCGCAATGAACCTGAAACGATTAATGAGTTGCTTGCTTCTGGTGGGAACTATTTGGTGCATAGTCTTGTCTATGTCCTCACATTCCCTCACAAGGCTGGAAAATCTGGTGCTGGGCCTGTTAGCAGGATTCTCTGCTAGTTACATAGTGCAACTAATTATTACTTGTTATAATTCCTCTCATAAGGGTGAAAAAGAAATCTACTGTGAAAACAAAGCTGAAAACCCAACACAAACTGCCCGAGAAGAGACTATCCAAGACATGGATGAAGCGCACTTCTTCACCCAGCTGACAGATAATACTATTAAAGAAAGTTCTTGGACCACAGTTGCTGGGAGAAACCGTCGCATTAAAAATAACAAACCAAACAAAAATGAATTAAATAATAACAAAACTTACGCTAATACTTCCATACCAAAAGCGACTTATTACAAACCCACAAGGGGCTGCAAAGAAATCTACTGTGAAAACAAAGAGGAAAACCCAACACGAAGTATCCAAGAAGAGACTATCCAAGACATGGATGATGTGCACTTCCTCACCCAGCTGACAGATAATACTATTAAAGAAAGTTCTTGGACCACAGTTGCCGGGAGAAACAGTCGCATTAAAAATAACAAACCAAACAAAAATGAATTAAATAATAACAAAACTTACGCTAATACGCCTAAACCAAAAGTGACTTATTACAAACCCGACAGGGTCTGCGAAAAGGTTGAGGTGGCCCCAGACCTTCGAAAGGTAATCTTAGGTTCTGGGGGTGCAGCCTTAACCCAATTTACAAAAACTTATTAGGTTAAAGTCTCCATTCCTGGAAGAAATGACCCAACCACAACCGTTACAGTAGAAGGTTTGCAAGAAAATGTCAGGTCAAAGTCTCCATTCCTGGAAGAAATGACCCAACCACAACCGTTACAGTAGAAGGTTTACAAGAAAATGTCAAGACAGCTGTGTCTGCTATGAACACTATCTTGAAAGAATACACAAAAAAACAAAAGGTTACAAAATTCATAGACATTCCTAAAGAATTCCGTAAGGTAGTTGTAGGGTACCGTGGCGACAGTGTGGCAAAACTAAGGAAAATATATGGTGTCTAGGTCACAATTCCTCTGCAAAATGAACCTGATGGACCAATACGTGTGAAGGGTTCATCAGAAAATGTTGACTGTGCCATAGAACACATAAAAGAAATGATTAAAGATTATAAAAAGCTATTGCAAGAGAAGGAAAAAAATCAGCCAGTTGAGAAATACATTTCTGTCCCTCACGACAGAAGGAAATTCATCGTTGGGATCAGCGGCCAAACACTTTCTCAACTCATGAGTGATAACAATGTTATGATTGTTGTTCCCAAGAGGGATGATAAACAAGCACCAATAAAAATAATTGGCTTACCAAAAAATGTTGAAGCAGCAGCAAAAAGTATAGAAAATCTCATCAAAAGAAAACTCACAAGTAAGTGAGCATGTATGCCATGCCAGGAATACTGAATACTAGAAGTGATTGTGCTCGTCGAACACCCACACGGATGATTTTTTTTTACACTGGGTGAACACCCACATGGATTATTTTTTTTTGCACTGGGTGAACACCCTCACATATTATTTTTTAACAGTGGGTGAACACCCACACAGATTATTTTTTTACAATGGGTGAAAACCCACATGTATTATTTTTTTTAAACTGGTGAACACCCACACAGATTATTTTTTGTACACTGGGTGAACACTCGCACGGATTATTTTTTTTACACTGGGTGAACACCCACACCGATTATCTTTTTTTTTTTTTGTGCGGAGCTGATTACCTTTACAAAATTATTTTATTTTATACACATATTTATTGTTTTTTTATACTAATATATCTATATAATATATATATATATATATATATATATATATATATATATATATATATATATATATATATATATATATATATATATAATATATTATGCTCAAAACAACCACTGTGAAAGAATAGAGAAATTCCAAGCGCTTTTGTGACTACTCACATTATCATGGAACTATGAAAGTAAAGCATCAAAGGAAGGTATATAAGGGGTCTAGCCAACACTTCACTATCAGATCCCACAACAATTAAACACCTGACGTGCGACTCATAAGAAAGCAGGCCCTCCGGCCCAACTAGACAGGTCCTTCACACAACCCACCAACAAACTATTCTACCCAAAATACAGTGGACCCCCAGTTAACGATATTTTTTCACTCCAGAAGTATGTTCAGGTGCCAGTACTGACCGAATTTGTTCCCATAAGAAATATTGTGAAGTAGATTAGTCCATTTCAGACCCCCAAACAAACACGTACAACGCACTTACATAAATACACTTACATAATTGGTCACATTCGGAGGTAATCGTTATGAGGGGGTCCACTGTATAAGAAATTTTAAAAATTATTATTTGTCCAGTGTGTTATTAAATTCTTCCCAAATTCTATTAATTATAAATGGATCTAATTTATATAAACCAAAAGAAATATTCATATTATTGTCAAAACTGCTTTTTATGAAACAAGATTCAATTATATTCCTGTCGATCATGGAGTTGCTCTATTATTTGCTGGTTTAAATTGAATTTTGTGCAGAGATTTAAAAGCTCGTGTGAGTGTGAGTTTTTATCAGAGCTGCCTCCTGGTGTTATTACTGCAACAATATTATTTGCTATATTCCTCCATTTTAGGTGCCTTAAGTTGAAATCCCCCAGGAGCAAGATGTTGGGTGCAGGAGCTGGAAGATTTTCCAGACAGTGGTCAATTTTTAACAGCTGTTCCTGGAATTGCTGGGATGTTGCATCTGGAGGCTTGTAGACTACCACAATGACTAGGTTTTGGTTCTCGACCTTTACTGCTAAAACTTCCACTACATCATTTGAGGCATTAAGCAGTTCTGTGCAAACAAGTGACTCTGCAATGTTCAGGCCAACCCCCCCCCCCTTTTGCCTGTTCACTCTGTCACATCTGTATAGGTTGTAACCTGGGATCCATATTTCTTTGTCCAAGTGATCCTTTATGTGGGTCTCGGTGAAAGCCGCGAACATTGCCTTTGCCTCTGCAAGCAGTCCATGGATGAAAGGTATTTTGTTGTTCGTTGCTGGCTTTAGACCCTGTATATTTGCAAAGAAGAATGTTATCGACTGGTGTATTGTTGGTACTGGAGGGGGATATTTTTTCCGGCATTAGTATCTGTATCTGTTGGTTTGGAGTGGAGGCCATCGACTGTGGTTCCACTCCAGGAATGACTGGATTTGGTGTACGATTTCTGCCATTTCCTGCCAGTTTTTTTTCCTTCCTGGCACTAAAAAAACCTCTCCCTCTTGAGTGGCTGTGGCTACCCAGGTTTTCCCATGGCCTGGATGTTTTGTATCTTTTTGTCCCCTTTAGATGGTATGCCTGGCAATTTAAGTTATAGCACAGTCTTTCCTGTACTGAAGAGGTACACAGTTCAGGGTGAAAAAGCTTACAGGAAGGGAGTTTGCATTTTCCTGTTGTCATATGGGCATGGCATTTTCTAGGGTGGTCATAGTTGCACGTCCCATCTGTTTTTTCAGATTTCCCATGCCAGCAGATACCAAGTGCATAGTATGTGCACAGGCTTGGTTTCCGTTTGCCTTGGGTTTCTGTGACTGTATTCCCTGTTGGTGCATGTTTCCCTGTCTTACTTCTATCCTCCCTAGCACCAACAATGGAGCTCCCAACAGTTGTTTTTGGTAATACATCCTCACTATTGCTAGTGGAGTCCTCTTGTTTGCTATTTCCTGCGGTATTTCTAGTTTGCAATATTGGTTTTATCTTATCTTTGACTACACTTATTTCCCTACTATGGCTCCTGTCCCCTATGAGGTCATTTATATGTATTCCTTCCTGCACATAATTCCCGACTACCTGGACAAAATCTCCAGCTTCACCATTACTGTCTCCCAGGACAGCATCTCCAGCTTCACCATTACTGTCTCCCAGGACAGCACCTCCTGCTTCACCATTAATGTCTCCCAGGACAGCACTATCAGCCCCACATTTGCTGACTACCAGGACTTCATCTCCAGCCTTACAGTTTCTGACAACATGGCCAGTATCAAGGGCAGTACCATTCAGCCCAGACTTTTTATGTTCCCATCTGTTGTAGAAAGTTTCCAGGTTTTCTATGAAAGCAGCTTTGATGTTGTCCTCTTTTAATACCCTTGTGATTTTAGTCCACAGATTTATCTCAATTGGGCATACCCAAAAACACTTCCCTGTTTTAACACTGCTTGTAGCTAGTTCTTGGATATCTGCACAAGGGGCGTGACACCAATTTCCACAAAAATGACAATTTACCCATGTGGAAGCCCGTTTGTTTGAACTGACCACAGACTACACACAGCTTCATAATGATTTGAATGGTTGATTTACTGCAATTCTACTAGCAACCTCTTGAATATTCTATTAATAACCTCCTTAAATGAAGCTCTAGCTATTTGTATTTCTGTTTCTAACTGTTTTTGTATATTGGACAGCTTACCGTGCACGTTCCTGATTTATATTTAATGTTTGTGTTTATAAGGGCACCTTCAACTCCATCTGTTTACAGTCTGCTTTATTGTCCAACGAAACCGTTTGAAACCAGTCAAGGGTTCGGACCAGTCAAGGGTTCGGACCAGTCAAGGGTTCAGACCAGTCGATCTGATCTGATCAGTGGGTCACTTATTTAAAACATACTGGTCGGTGATTTGAGCTAACACTTGAAGGATCTACTGGAAATTATCTACCCGAGTAATATGTGATTTGATTGATACAAAAGTATAACTTGCGTGTTGAAGAAACCAGTGACTGCTGGCAACTCCTACAATGATGAATGGTCTACCTCAACCCTTATTTATCAATCGCTGTATCTAGCTCTTCTATTTTTTTTTCCGTCTCCTCCACAATAAATGCTATATTATCACTATAGTTGACTGGTGCAAATTTTGGAGGAAGGAAGCTTTTTCTGTAGTAATAATTGCTTCTCGTTGTGTATATTGCGACCGCTGGTAACTACAGGTTATATGAAATTCACAGTATATGTCTGGTATTTCAATAAAAAAGAAACTATTGAAAGTCACTCCACTCCACTAAGTACCATTATAATACTGATTAGTTGCTACTACAACACTGTATTCTGCTATTCACTGGTATCACTAGATTATATGCGAGTACACTAACATAACAGAGCGGCTAAAAGAGGTCAATATATCTGAAATGCGTAGGGAGACACTGGTCAGAGAAATAGCAAGCATCGAACTTAAGCTAAAAGAATCCTCTAGGAGTCAGGAATCGCGGAAGAACTAAAAGCCATAAATGAAATCGAAAGAAACCCAAAGTATTTCTTCTCCTATGCCAAATCAAAATCGAGAACAACGTCCAGTATTGGGCCCCTACTTAAACAAGATGGGTCCTACACAGATGACAGCAAGGAAATGAGTGAGCTACTCAAGTCCCAATATGACTCAGTTTTTCGCAAGCCGCTAACCAGACTGAGAGTCGAAGATCAAAATGAATTTTTTATGAGAGAGCCACAAAATTTGATTAACACAAGCCTATCCGATGTTATCCTGACGCCAAATGACTTCGAACAGGCGATAAATGACATGCCCATGCACTCTGCCCCAGGGCCAGACTCATGGAACTCTGTGTTTATCAAGAACTGCAAGAAGCCCCTATCACGAGCCTTTTCCATCCTATGGAGAGGGAGCATGGACACGGGGGTCGTCCCACAGTTACTAAAAACAACAGACATAGCCCCACTCCACAAAGGGGGCAGTAAAGCAACAGCAAAGGACTACAGACCAATAGCACTAACATCCCATATCATAAAAGTCTTTGAAAGGGTCCTAAGAAGCAAGATCACCACCCATCTAGAAACCTATCAGTTACACAACCCAGGGCAACATGGGTTTAGAACAGGTCGCTCCTGTCTGTCTCAACTATTGGATCACTACGACAAGGTCCTAAATGCACTAGAAGACAAAAAGAATGCAGATGTAATATATACAGACTTTGCAAAAGCCTTCGACAAGTGTGACCATGGTGTAATAGCGCACAAAATGCGTGCTAAAGGAATAACAGGAAAAGTTGGTCGATGGATCTATAATTTCCTCACTAAAAGAACACAGTAGTCATCAACAGAGTAAAGTCCGAGGCAGCTACGGTGAAAAGCTCTGTTCCACGAAGGCACAGTACTCGCTCCCATCTTGTTCCTCATCCTCATATCCGACATAGACAAGGATGTCAGCCACAGCACCATGTCTTCCTTTGCAGATGACACCCGAATCTGCATGACAGTGTCTTCCATTGCA